AAAAAAAAAAAAAATCAAACATTTCCATACTTGTCCCATAGCCTACTGAATCAAGACAATGCAACTTTAGAACACATGCTTTAAAACGGACTTTCCAAGTGTTCTGATGCTCCTGGCCTCACAAGTGAGAAGCACAGTCCTGAGCAAGACTTTCATGCGGAAGATGAGTCTTCTATAATTCGCCTAAGCAAAACACACCACTGCGTTCGTGGCCAAGTTAGAGTTCATCTTGTTTTGCTGGATGAGTAGTTTACGGCTTCCCTGCCCCTCATCTGTTCACACCTGATGAGCCCCCCGCCACGACACATTCTTATTGGCCAGGTAGCTGGAGAGAGAGCTGGAGAAAGCAGCAGGCCACTTCCCAATGGAAGACACCGACAGACAGCGCTTACCATGGCAAAACCCACGTCTGCTTTCTTCAGGGCAGGCCCATCGTTGGTGCCGTCTCCGGTGACGGCCACCACCTGCCGCTGTTCTCCAACAGTGCTGTCGATGATACCTGGGAAAAAGAGCGCAGGTGACACCTGAGGTCATTTGCCAGCGCTGTTTCCCACGGAATACCCGATTCCAGTTTCTAGCGCTCCTTTTTTATTCTCTTCTTTCCCTTCCTCCATGCTAAAGCTTCTCCAGCCACCACCCAAGGGCAGTAACTGTTTCCAGAACCCAGCTCCACTGCTCCAATTCTACCTGCTGGCTGCGCAGTCTGGCTAAGTTACTTGTCTTTTCAACTTCCAACTTCCTTCCCGACAGAACAAGATGCTTTTACCTGTCATGACTAATTCACAGTACTACTGGCAAACAAGATATACAATGTTTAAAAGACCCAACTTTATTCCATGTCATACTCACCGAGGGCTCAGATGTTTGCTAAATGGAATATTCTCCCCCGAGCCTGGGAGCTCTCCCAGAACCTCCCTATTCAGGACAGAAGGGCTGCTCCGGCTGAGGCTCTTACCTGTCCTCACCCCAGCCTGCCTTCATCTTTTGCAGGCGCCCACTCAGGAGCTGATCTCACCTTTCACCAGCGTGTGCTTGTCAGTCGGGGAAGATCGCGCCAGCACCCGGAGCTTAGGCCAGATCTTGTCCAGCTTTTCTTGCTCTACCTGCCAACACCAGACCACATCTGGATGAGCCATGAAGGGAAATCACATACGCACACCCTCCAAGCTGCGAGGAGAGCTGTGAGTCCACAGCCCCACGGAGACAAAACGGCCAACTCAGCTCACTGATGGTGACCACTCATGTCCTGTTTGCTTCTCTTCCCTCCCTCTCTCCTACCTGGGAACCAGTGCATATTTCTTAGACCCTTGACACAAAGTGGGCCAGGGTTTGCTGCTGGCTCAGGGGGCTAATGGGACATTACGGAGGTCTTAGTTTGACTTTTCTGTGTAAACCGGGAGGCTCTGGTCTGTTCCACACTCAGGCCACTTCTCTTACAAGCTACTCTTAGCCACAGGGCAGTGACATGCGAAGGATGAGGGAGGGAGATGAGTATGAAACCGTCTTATGACCAAAAAAGCAGAATGACACGGAAAGTCAGTGACGCTGTTTCAAAGGGTAATTTGTGAATGAAGACAGCGGTAAGACAGCAGCTCCCCGTTTACCAGCTGAGCAGCTTTGGTAGGAAGGGCTGTCTCAGATGAGCAGATTTCGGTTTAGAGTCCACCCACTTTCTCCCGCACGCCCGGAAGCTGTACGCGAGAGCCAGCCCTTCCCTCATCCAGCGAGCGCTGGTTCCTCCCACACAGGACGCACCTCGCCCTTCTCATTGCGGATGAGTCTGTTGAATTCTTTGCCTTCTAAGCACAAGAAGTCATCTCCAGGTGTCAGAATGCCACATTTGGTGGCGATGGCCCGGGCTGTGTTGATGTTGTCACCTGTCACCATTCTGACAGTGATGCCAGCTCGTTTGCATTTGGCGATAGCATCTGGGACCTTTGGAGAGTGAAGGAGGAAAGAAAGACGGTGATACCTGTTCCACTGCTCCTCTCTGCTCTCCAATCACTGTGGACAGCAGAGAGGGACCAGAGAGGCTGTGTCACGGGGCACGGGCTACCCCCGGTCATTTTTATAGCACTCATTGCCATCTTGCTTCTGTTCACCCCACACGAGTCACATCTGAGTTTCACTTATTATCCTAGGCACTGCGGGCCACGTGCTTCAGGAGCCACGTGTGAACATCGCGCTTCCTCTTACAATCCAGGCTCCTCAGCAGGGCACAGGTGGTGTCTGGAGATGGGGCCGCTGCTTTTCTTCCCAGAGGAAGTTCTAATCACTCCCTGCCTGCCTGGCCCAGGCTCCAACCATATCAGCTCTTTGTAGTGTCCCAATGCAGGACACCTTCTCCAGCCCTGGCCGTGACAACCACCAGGCTGACTGTCTGAGCTTCCCTGAAGCGGAGATATTCCCAGTCCCCTTGTGTCTAGGACAGAGCTCAGTACACAGGCTCCTTGGAAAGACAACACTGGCTAAAGCAAGGAGGCTAAAGACAAAGTTGGTGTCCCAGTTAATCCTGCCTTCTGACCAGATATTAAGGCTAATAAACTATGGCTTTTTACTACTCAAACACCACTAACCCAGGGAATGGCATCCCCTGTCAGGTGGGCATGCCAGAGAAGCTGTGAAATCTCTCTGTGTAAGTCAGTAGCATTCAGGGAACTTGCCCGGGGTCACAAATAGACAAGGAACTTGCACCCACTTCCTGTGACTCCTGGGTGGCTCCTCCTTAGACTGGTGCCTGGGCCAAGGGCCACTGGGAGACTTTCACTCCTATGTTCCAGCCCTTTCTCCAAGCCGAAGTCTCACCTCTGGACGCACAGGGTCTTCGATGCCCACCACTGCGATACAGGTCAGTTCAGTGAGGATCTCATTCTCATTGTCCCAAGAGGGCTCTGCGTCATCGAAATCCCGGTAAGCTATGCAGATAGTCCGGAGCCCCTCACAGGCCATGGGCTCGATGACAGTGCGCACCATGTCGTCTCGGTCCTTATTCTTGAACGGCAATGCTTCCCCTTTCCTGTCCAGGATTCGGTTACACCTAGAGAGACACACGGTCAGAGAGCCGAGCCTCCTTTCCTCCTCCGTCTGTCTCTACAATCCTTACCGACACCCCGACCACTCTGTATCACTCCCAAAGACCTCACTCCTTGACCAAGCATCTCCTCCATGCATTGCTCAGCCGAGTGAGTCCCCGTTTCCACAGGAGCATGTGGCTCACGGACTGAGTGAGGCCTAGGTGGGCAGCCCGACCCTCAGTTCATTGTTCTTATTCACGTGGGAATGCAATGCTGTCCTCTGCGGATCGCCTGCTCTTTCGAACTTTCTAAAAGTAGAGACTTTGCAATCTGCAGATGTACACGGGAGGGTGGTAACCGAGAATGTGTTGATTAAAAGAAGGTCGCTGAGACCAAGTTGGGGCACCGCTACGTTCGGCTCTGCTGACCCTAAACCAAGCTGAGTCAACTTTTCATGACTCGTGGGTAGTCCGACCGTTTCTGAAGTTATGCACCTTACCTGCGATCAGAACTGACAGTGGGGAAGAAAAAGGAACGTGGAGCTAACACTGCTAGCACTTCTACGTGCAAGGCACCTTATATTCATTGATCACCTAATCACCGTGACACAGTGTTTATTCTGAGTACGATGATCTTTGTTTCCAGATTAGGAAATGGAAGTTTACACTGTCCAGGTCCGAATACTGGCTGTGTTTCTGTCAGCTGTATCTCCTTGAGCCAATTACATGACCGCCCTGTTTTCTCATCCGTAAATCATAAATCGGAGTGAATAATGGCGCCCACTTCGTGGAGTTATGAGAATTAAATAAAAGGAGCTAAAGTACTTAAAAGCAATGCTTGGCCCGAGAAGAAGACCAAGGGGGGCACTCACTTGCGCAAGATGATCTCTGAAGCGCCCTTGCTGAACATGCAGAAGCCTCCCCCGGGTTTCCGGATGACCGTGCTCATGGACTTGCGCACGGAGTTGAAGGTGTACACCTTGTAGAGCTTCTCCTCGGGCACCTCACTGCGCACAGCCTGGTAGTCGTGCTTCAGGTCGGTGACAAAGCCCAGCAGGGCACATTCGGTCTTGTTGCCCACTTGCCGTGGCAGGCCTCCCTCCTTCTCTGGGGGCTGAGGGAAAGACGCACACAGGAGAGAAAGCACTCAGGAGGGTAAGGACTCCCCTACGAAAATCTGACGTAGGGCTGGGGGTGTAGCTTAGTGAGACAACTCTTGCCTACGCTGCCCGAGGCCCTGGGTTCATTCCCTGCACCGCAAAACAAAAATTTAAAATCATAGATATAGCCGGAGACTGTAAGGATGGACAGCATTTGCTGGGGTTGTTTCAAGGGCAGTCAGACGGTAGTCAGCGGTCAGCTTGCTCCCAGAGCCACTCCCATCTTGGGGATTTTAGAATTGGCTCTAGATGTAATGCGGGTGTCTCACCCTGCATGGGACTGGCTCTAGATGTAATGCGGGTGTCTCACCCTGCATGGGACTTATTCTAATGTTCTCTTGGGCTCTGGAAAGTAATTCTTCTCCTGATCAGTCCAAGTCTGCTGTGAGCATGAGGTTCCTCTTTGCAGACATTGTCTCTCTAGGGTAATCAGAGGGTCACAGGCTCCTCAAACCTGACCGTCCATTACTCTCAGTCTCAACCTGAGCGTGTCTGATCACGTTCAGAAGCGAGAAAGCGACACAGGATGGCAATTCAGGCAGAAGAAACAATAAGGGATTTGTCTCAGAGCAAATTACTGTCCTCCTCCAACTGCCCAGGCCAAAAGGAGAGCTTACCAGTATCTTTGAGGTATAAGCGCTGTTGATAGAGATGCCATTGACAATAAGGTCCAGGACCCTGGGTGGTAAGACGTCAGGGCTTGGGATCTGATGGTAGTGGGTGCCCCCAATGTAAGCTTGTACCACTGTCATGCGGTTCATGGTCAACGTGCCTGTCTTATCAGAGCAAATGGCGGTGGCATTGCCCATTGTCTCACAAGCATCCAAGTGCCGCACCAGGTTGTTGTCTTTCATCATTTTCTACAAAGGAAAGCAGAGCAGACTTGAGAGAAGACCGACTGGTCTCACGCGAACAGGTCAGAGGCTGCGTCCCGGCCAACATCGCTCCATATTTTATTTTCGAGTCCTATACAAAAATGCAAGAGACTAGCTTTGTGCATCTGTTGGTTCATTTAAACACTGATGCAGCTGATGGCGATGGTCTCTCCAGTGTCAGGGACTTCCGCTCTGGTGACGGGCCACCCAAAGTTTATCCTTTCCCCAAAGGCTCCACAGAGCCCTCCTTCCCACCCCTGTGCCGAAGGAAGGAACCGCGTTGTTCCAGGCTCACCTTCACAGAGTAGGCCAGTGAGATGGTGACGGCCAGCGGCAGGCCCTCCGGCACAGCTACCACCAGCACAGTGACGCCGATGATGAAGAACTTGACAAAGTACTGGATGTAGACGGGAGTACACTCGGGTAGCCACGTTCTCCCTTGTATCACGAAGTTGTCGATCACAAAGTACAGGATCAGGATGACAACCGTGATGGCGGACATGATCAGACCTGTGCGGGCAACAAGTCACATGAACCACGGCTTGAGGGCACCGAGGGCTCAAACCACAGTGTAAACTGTCGTCTTTCTACTAATTTTTAAAGCCGTCATCTTTAAGGGGTCAGGCTAAAATCTGCCACCCATGCTCTGTTATACGCCATGGTACAAAAGAAAAGACCCAGGTTCTAAAGACAGTGGTTCCAAAGACCCAGGTTCTACTCTTGGCACTGCGCCAACTTAACTCATGGCTTTGACTGGTCAACCTCATCTAGTCCTGTTTCCCAGACCAAGTTTCTTGTTCAGAATAAGAGGATCAGTCTACACTCTTGAGACAGCACTTCATGGTTGTATCCCACAACTCACACTGAGACAACTGTATCTGTTCACTGACCAGTAGTTCACCAGTTCTTGACTTCTCCCTGTTAGCCCATGAGTGTTGGACCGGTCACAGCTTGGTTACAGAGGTGTCCCACTGATGCTAGCAGAGCACTTGGAAGGTGGACCCTGAGAAGACTGCTTCCAAAGCCTAACGTGCAAAAATTTATATGGCACTTGCTGTGGGCCAAGCAAACCCTTCACACGCCCTTTATGATGCCGGGTTACTGTTATTGTCCTCTTTTCTACTCTTGGTGGGGAATCAAACTCAGGGCTTCGTGCATACCAGACAAGCATTCTGCACTTGGCAGCTACACTCCCAGTCCTTTTGTTTTTTTTGGTACTGGGAATTGAAGTCAGAGCCTCATGCATGCCAGGTGGTTGTCGAGCCACTGAGCTATATCCCTGGTCCTCCAGTCATTTCTAATTTTTGTTTTGAAACCAAGTCTTGCTATGTTGCCCAGGCTGGCCTTGAACTCAAGATCCTTCTGTCTCCACCTCCTGAGTTGCTGGGATTACAGGCATGTGTCATGAGGCTCAGATAATTTTCTCTTCTTTGAAAATAGGATATAAGACAGGCACAGTGATGCACACCTGTAATCCGAGTTGAAAGTAAAAAATATACAAGGGATGGAAATGTAGCTCAGTGGTAAAGTACCCCTAGGTTTGATCTTCAGTACTGGGGGAGGGGGGAGAAAAGAAAAGAAACTAAACCTAAGGCTTTTAATATAATATACTGGTATAGGATGACCAATCAACCTGGCTTGCTTAAGAGCAAACAAACTGTCTGGGATGTAAAACTTTCACTGCTAAAATCAAGAAAGTGCCAAACCAGCCAGGATCGTTGGGTACCGTACACACTGAGGTAAAGGAAGAGTCTGTTCAAGGTCAAAACCCAACTGGCTCCTCTGAGGGCTGAAGTGTCAGTGTCCAGCAGCCCCTGCTCCTATCTGAGGCACAGCACTTGGGGAAAGTTCTGCTTGGAACCACAGCATGGATTTGAACTTGGCTTTTGCTAAGGGTCAGTGGTTCGGGAGTCTCAGAGTGAGGCTCCGAGGCGATGATACCAATGACAGCATATTTGCTTGTACTTCATGTGATCAGAACCAGGACTGGGGCATTCACGAAGCAAGGTACCCATGGTATAAAAAGCAGGGAGGTGCTCACTCTCGGGGTGGTGGAAGGCATTACCCAAGTCCTGCCTGGCTTGACATGAGAAATAAAACAGACTCAGGCCAATCTTCTGGTAGCTTCAACCCCCAAAGAGAAAGGTAGGGCTAGAAGTCTGCTGAATGTTTGACATCGCATGTCAGGCTCCATAGCTTGTTTCTGCTTTCGTAATTCACCTCCTCCACACTGGGATTATATGCAAGAGATTTCAAGGTAATCCAAAGTAGCTGGGTGTGAGATCGCTTGGCACAGAGCCCCCCTCGGTGCTTCAGATGTTCTCTGTGTGCACTGTCCAGAGCGACGGCCACTGGCTACCTGCAGCTACTGGTTATTGAAATGAATGGAGGACCAAAATTTCTAACTTGATGTCATTTAAGTGGACACAGCCACCGGTGGGTGGTGGCTGTAGTGGGCAGCACAGACCCTGACATGTGCTTAGTGTATCAGCAGCATTGCTGTTGTCTGGGAAGTTACTAGAAATGCAGACTCTCAGGCCCTGCTGCAGACAGGCTGAGCTGAATCTGTACTTTACCAAGAGCCCAGAAGAACTAGACCCAGAGATGTACCAAACAAAAGATTGCCTCAGAAAAATACACAGGGAAAACACCATAGATAAAGTACAACCTTCCCACTGTTCCCTCCTCTCAGCCTGGACCCCGCCACTGAACAGGGTGGTGGGAGGGAGGAGAACACAGAGGTGAGTGGTGGAAAGGCACCTTGCTTCCACAGCTCAGGACGCAGTCAGTGCCTCTCCTCTGGAGAGCCTCTCGGACCACTGTGTGCCACTTCCCCCGTCTTTATGCTGTGTTCACTTCTCTGTGCTGACCACGCGCCACCACTGTACAGGGGAACTGTGGCCTTCTGTGTCCTTAAGGAATCTACCGGCCCAAACCAGAGACAGGTCAGAGCTCTTAAAGCCTTCCTTCTTGCTAACTGTCTCCCCTGCTGTGATAGGGCACTCTTTACTTCTCCTTTGTGCACATGAAAGAGACAGTGGGGGCTGTGAGCCCCTACAAGTAGGAAAACATTTCTCTGAAAAAGTCAAATGGTGGCAGACAGGGACACAGTCAGCCAGATGCACTGACGACTTAAAAGCTTCCGCGTCCTTCTGCCTGACTTGGTTGGTACTGTGAGCATCCACACTGGCACAGAACAAGAAGCTGGCTTGACCTCACTCACCGGCTTTTCCAATCTGAACAGCCAAGCGCGTCAGCTTGCCCTGCAGCACTGACTTCTCCTTTCTGGGCACCTTGGACAGCTTCTTCTCCTTTTCCTCATTGTCAATCCCCTCCTGGCTGTTGAGGGGCTGGATTTCCAGGGCCACTCCATCCTGGGTCTTTGCTACAGTGCACACACAAATGCAAAAAGTGAGCAGGCAAGGTGGTGGTGGTCCTGAGCAGCAGGCAGATGGAAATCACAAGCCCTGGCCCTCCTTCTGGACCACACCTTAGCCCCTGGCATTCTGATCACTCCCACCCCGTGCCAGACACAGACTTGCCTTCAACCCTATACTGGGGCCTTTGGAACAACAGTCCACTAACCGGAAATGAAATGGGTGCTTTTAGGGCCTGGATTTCCTCTTCAGTGGCAGCTTCCTGGCACCAACTCAGAGCCCCAGGCCAGGTTTATTCCGGCAAGGGGAATAATCACGCAGCTAGGACTATTATCAGAAACTGTCCTTCCTGGAATTCAGTGCTTAAAATAGTGAATGTTTACTGAAGAGAGGGGCTGAAAGGCGAGTCTGGCAGAAGTTTCGAGGGCACAGGGGTCCTAGATGCCTGTTAAAAGGTTCACCTTTTTCCCTCTCTCTATGGGGACTGTTGGGGAAGAAACACAGACTCCCGTGGCCAAGGTATTTTCTAGCTCCTTCTTATATAAAGTGAAGGACTGGGGAAGGAAATCCCCTTTCTCCCCTGTCTGAAAAGATCAGGAGGTACAAAGTGGGACCCAGGGTTAAGTCATTGGAGAAGCGGAAGAAGTTGATATAAAGGGACCCCTGGGACAAGAGAAAGTGGGGATAAAGACAGACATATGAATCTATTTTGCTTTTCAAAGAAGACATAAAGACACCTGAAATTAAAGGATCATCTGTTTGGCGCTTGTACTCCAAAATGACCATTTCTAAAGACTACTACGATGCATACAAAGGAAAGACTCTAAGTGCTGTCTCTGGAGAGCAATTCTCGCTGGTTCCCAAGAGTCCTCCAACTTCGTCCCTACAAGTGCTCAGTCCCTTCCTTGCCTAGGATGCACTTCCTGAGAGGCTGTCTGCTGTTGGACTCACAGACAAGACGGAGACGGGATGCAGAGACAGTCACCAAAAGAGAAAAACACACAGCAGACCAGGAGCAACAAGACAGACTGTACAAAGAACAAAGAGAAGTGGAGAGAGGTAGAACTGACTCTCCCCAGGTACCCCAAGAAGATTAGCAGAGAAGGAATCCACGCTAGAAGAGGACACTGATGAGGAAGCTAGCAAGAGGAGGGTGCAGGGACTGCCCACCCGGACTGCCCACCCTCCCAACCCAGAGACTGATGACTTTTTGGTGTTTAAAATCAGGCCAAGGGCAACCGCGGCAAGCTTAGCGTCCTGAGAAGAGCAGATCGGCCTCCCTCACTCCGAAACTCTGACGTGAGGTTCCGGGAGCCAACAGCAGAGGGCGCTGCGGTCCCCATCTAGACCGGGACTGGGCCTTTGACCCCACCCCCGATCTCTGCACCTTCCTCAAATTGAGCCATCTGGGGCCACAGCAGCAGATAACAGGTGATGAAGAGGGAAGGGGAGAAGACAGATGGCCCGGAAAGGTCTGGTGTGAGCGTGGGCAGGCATAGGTGGCAAATGAGTGGGAGGAGAGGTTACCTTTGTTGCGATTTTCAGGGACTCCTTGTTTTTTACCTTTGAACAAGAAAGAACAAGAAGGAAAAAATTGGGGTGGAAACTCGAAGTGACTATTAAGAGATATGCAATTTGTTCGTGCTGCTCTGAGACCAGAAGAGCTACAGCGAAGGTGGTGGCTTGAAAGGAAAGGCAATAAATATGAAGGAAGCTCACATCTTTGCTCTTATTCACTCTTCCTGGAAGCCCTAATGACTCCCTGGGGCTCAGGCAGAGCCTCATGCAGGTAAGTACAAGCTCACACCTGGGCTACTTCCTCCTGGTCTGGCTGCTGCTGGGAGGGAGGGTGCTCTTGGGAAATGGGGCGGGGCCTCGCAGGGAGGGGCGGGGCCTCGCAGGGAGAGCAGGGCCACTTTCTATCTAGTGGCAAAGGCCCTGAAAGGTGTCTTATGTAATTCAACAGCACCAGGCAGGCTTCCTCCTCTCTCCCTGGCAGGTGGCCATGAAACTGAGGGTCTGCATCAGTGGGAATGTGTTCTGTTTTCTTTTCATACACTGCTCTCCCCTAAACAGCTCAAGATTACCCTCTGGCCAAGTGGCAGAAATCTGTCTCCCTCCAAGGAAGGTGGAATGCTAGGGAAAGGTGCAATTTGGCTGTATTATCTTTCTGTCTTTCTCCTGCTGTTCCTACTTCAGGAGCAAGTGAATGGCGAGACTGAACTTCAGGGTGGACGTGACCTCCCTTCTAGCCATGTCTCTTTTCCACCAAGAGCCAAGTTTCAGCCGGAATCCAATCAGTTTGCCCTTAGCTGTGAGGTTCATTAAATCCCCCCTCCCCAGGAGGAAAGTGGGGGGCACAGAGGACACTGAGTGTCGCACCCAGCCAGCTCACCTGGAGCAGGGTTTAACGCAACCCGCTCCAATCCACTAACCACACAGGAATCGAGGCTCAAGCGCAACCTGACTTAAGAAGCCTCTGGTTTTCACCAGAGCTCCCTGGACAGCCAAGGTTTACATCTTCATCTCGGCAAGGAGCTTGGGTATCTGTCCTCATTCCAGCCAGATCTGCCAGTGCGTCCCCAGGGAGGAGAGGGCAGAGGCTCTCATTCCGAATGCCAGAGCATCCTTTACCTTTCTTCTTCTTCTCTTCCTCATCATCCTCGCTGGCCCCCAGGAGGGTAAAGATGATTCCTGTCTGGGAGTTGATCCCCACGGCAGTCACTACCATCCGGCCAGAACCTTCCATCACGTGAGTCCCTGCACGGGAAAGAAGACGGGAAGAAATGTTCTTTAACACCTACTCTGATTTGGCGTCAAACAGAAACTTAAAAAATGAGGCCTGGCCCACAGACAGTGACACACTTATCAGAGCGTAAGAAAAGGTCAAGCGCTGGATCCATTTAAAGCAGACCAATCGCACTGAAGGTCAGGAGGAAAATGAGTGTTTCACCCCTCCACCCCCAAACAGCTGAGCCCTTCCAAGACCTTAACAGCACTTATTTCACAGAACACCTCCCTCGGGTTGCCTGATACTCCTTGTGTTGAGCATCTCCATTTGCTTCTGCCTCGGCGGAGCCCAGGGAAGGAGACGGGACAGAGCCGGGAGAGAAGGCCAGCCTGGGCCCGCAGCCTGGCTGTCTGAGGGCAGAAGCATGGGACGTGGGCACCCGGAGGCTCTACCTGAGAGCAGCATGGGGTCTCTCTCCAGGGACTTCTTGACATGGTCTGACTCCCCTGTCAGAGAGCTCTCGTCAATCTTCAGATCGTTTCCCTGGATGAGGATCCCGTCTGCAGGCAGCAGGTCACCTAGTGCAGAGAGAAGCGGCAGACAGCGAGGGAGAGCAGGTCAGCGCCCGGCAGGGGGTCTCCCTCTCTGCCTGTCATCTCAGGGCTGCTGTGTGGGCCTTTTCCATGGGGTGATGGCCCAGGTAGCACCCGGAGAGCCTTTAAAAGATTACTCCTGGGCTGGGCTGTACCTTGGTAGTAGAGTGCACACCTAGCACGCACAAGGCCCTGGGTTCTAGCCTAGCACCATCAAAAAAAAAAAAAAAAATTACTTCAGGTATTATAAATGCAAATTATCATTGACCCCAATCACCTTCCTATGGCCTGAATATTATATACTTTGAATCCCAAGACACATAGTGTGAGAATCTGACATCTGTTGGAAGAATTTCAGCTATTGCTGTCTTACAAATTCCTTTCTGCCACCTCCTTACACTCTAACCTAGATGCTGACACAACCTGGGGGCTCATCGCTTTGGGTTTTCAGCACTCCCTGCCCCCTTACCCCAAAGGCCCATCCTCAAATGTGCACGGGTGGGGAGTTGGGTCAGAGGTATGCGGAACACTGCGCTCTCACCGTATTTGATTTGGGCGATGTCCCCCACTACGATCTCAGCCACAGGGAGCTGGATGAGCTGGCCATTCCGGATGATGGAGAACTTCTGTTCCTGTTCAATACGGTTCTGCAGGCCCCGGAACTGCTTCTCTTTGCTCCAGTCATTGAAGGCAGTCACCAACACCACGATGATCACTGAGAACAGGATGGCGGCCCCCTCGATCCAACCGGCTTCTGCCTCATTTTCATCTTCTGGGGAACTTGCGACTTGACCGCATACTGTCCAGAGAAAGGAGAGAAACAGTCCCCAGGGGCATAAAGAAAGGAGGACAGTGCTCCCACAGAACGGGAAGTCGGGTAAAGAGAAAATTAGAAATTAAAACTCTTAGGCAGAGGAGCTAGTCTCTGAGACATCAGGCTTCAGTATGGTCTCACCATCACTTTATCCATTTCCGCTATTCTAATAAGAAGCGAATAACTAAACTGTAGAAGTCCCACGTAAAAAAAACCTGTGACTCCCAACACCGTCCAGACCATCGGTAGGGGCTCTTCGAGAAACGGAGCTTTGTTGATTAGGCGAGGGCAGAGGACCTGTGCCTTTCTGAATAAACATTTGGTGGGAGAAGGGGGAGAGCCCGGGATGAGGGCGAGTGAGAGCAGCTTACCAGCTTCTAGGCCGGTTTCTTCTGGAGAGCTCAGTGGATGAAGGGGCAAGATTCGTGCTCTCATCGGTCAGCCATGCAGGCTAAGGGCCTCTGGTAGGAACAGAAGAGCCCAGGCTGGAGCCGCACGGAGCTGTAAATACTCACGTTCATTGCTTCCACCGGGGGGGCGATAGAAGGACAGGACCAGGGAGATGATGGCTGCGATCTCCAGGATGATGAGCGTGACATCCTGAAGGGCTTCCCACACTAACTCTAAGAAGGTCTTGGGCTTCTTAGGGGGGATCAGGTTCTGTCCGAACTTGAGTCTACGTTTCTCCAGATCAGCAGGGTTCCCAGAAAGCCCTGGAAAAGAAACAGGGGTGGATGAACAGATGGGGAGAAAAGAGGGAATGACAGCAGAAGGCAGTTAAAAGTCCTCTTGTAAAAGAACAAGAGAAACCTTTAAGAAGACCCCTGCCTCCTGACCTGTCCCACGGTGAGACTGGGTTAAGCTGGACAACCGTCCCGATTTCCCCTGAACTTTTAGTCTACATACGGGCACAGAGTGACAGGCGGCCTCAGGAGGGCGCCCCGGGGTTCTCTTAGGAACCGGGATAAACGAATGCAGACAACTTCATCTCCTCATGGGTGTGCTGCAGGCTCCAGCTCTAAGAACATAAACACTGGAATGTTCCTTGAGAAACGGGTGTGGTGGTGTAGGCCCGTAGTCCCAGCTACTCAGGAGGCTGAGGTGGAAGGACTGCAAGTTCAAGGCCAGCCCAAGCAACGTGAGAGACCCCAATCTCAATAAATAAGTAAGTACGTTCCTTGGGGTGAACACAGAACTTTTCTCTCATGCTAACATATAAATGCTGCTGCATACCAGAATACAGAGTTAGTGTAAATCCACCAGCTCATGTACAAAAGCCAGAAAAAACAAGCTACCTGCTCACGGTCGTGCAGGCCAGAGGCACGGCCCATCCTCTGTCCCGATTCCAAGTTTTAGGAGCTGTGTGAGATCACCGCAGTGGAGGCTTTCAGGCTGCAACTTACAGGCAGCTCCGCTGAGTGGTACCACACTATTCTACCAAGTAGGAACTAAGGCGGCAAGAGAAATGCTACTACTCGGGTTGGCTACAAAGAGGATAGGAAAGGCAAGGCCACCAAGTTTTGAGATCCGACACAGTTCCTGATTATCAGCCAACTCACATGTTGGCACCTGCATCCACACCCACTACAGCCACGGCATGGAACCACACCTACTACAGCTCGTGGACACACGCCACACTCAAGTATCACACACTGCACACATCACACACGACGTAAATAGTGCATGTGTGCCCTAGAGACGCAGACATGGCACACATGCCACAGGGTGGCATAGCAGACACATACCACACCGTGCCACACATCACACCTATACCACACAGCACAACACTCAGAGCCGCATAACACCACACACGTCCTCAGGGGGACACGGACTGGCAGAACTGTCCCTGATGCCTCCCTGAGAATTCAGGTCCCTCTCCTGGCTCCCAGGACTGTTCTTTAAAGTGGGAGAGAATCCTAGCATGGCAGTGCAAGGCAGCTGGCACTCACCAAAGTGTTTACCCACCGCAGCAAAGCAGTCTTGGTGCCGCAAACGCTGGTGGCTGGCCTGACAGATCCCACAGGCAGGGTGGGGTACCTTTTGTCTTGGAAAAAGCTCAGCCCTGGGGAGAGGGTGCTCAGCTGCTGAGCTTCAGGCTGAGCAGAAGGCTGGGAGGAGTCAGAGGGACCAAACGGAGGCAGAGGAGCTGGAGGAGTCCCTCACCCCAGTCAACAGGATACCACGGAGAGGGAAGGCATGGGGCACCAAGTGAGGGCCAACATCTCCGTTTCCACAGAGCAGTACCTAACTGTGTGGCCTTTGGTGGCACCAGGAGGGATCTGGGTTAGGCCTGAGGAAGACACTCAGGCAGGAAAAGATTTTGAAAGTGGGAAAATAGATTCCAGGGAGTACTGTTTGCAGGGCCAGAGACGGCATCTACCTGCCATGAAAAACAAAACCGTCAGGGGTGCTGTAGTACCTGGATCCTCATCAGTGCGGCCTGGACTGATGGAAGTGTTCGGGAGCCTGCCTAGAAGGAACGTGGGGAGCAGACAGGCACCCTGAGGCCACTGTCGCATGCTAAGGGTTAGGGGAACAGCTGGTCAGGAACGAGTGCCCAGTGCTGTAATGCAGGGCCTCCGATTTATTGGCTGGCGGCCTGCTGAGCTCCGCAGGGAAGCAGAGTTCCCCCAAAGCACCAGAAGAAAGTTGAGCTGCTTCCCAGATGCCCTCTGATCCTCTCTCTACTCTGAAAGCCAGGGCCTGGGAGAGGAGCAGGCAGCGGCACAGCAGAGAGGACCCGGGCTGGGCCTCGCTGGTTTTTCCTGTTCCCAGGGACAGGCGATGGCGTGGCTGTGCCAGTGTGAGATGAGGGCCAGGTTTGCTTGAGTGAAATGGTGGGTCTGAGAAGGGGTTAGGGTGTTTTACATAGGAGCAGGGGTCCTGATGGAGTGGGAGGAGATGCCCTCCCTCCTTTAACAAGGGTTAGTAGACCACGGTGAGGGTTAGCCCGGACATCCTCCCACCAAAACAAGAAACAGAAACAGAGTCCACCTAACAACGCTTGTGAGGTCAGAGCAGGTAGGACTACTTGCCCTTCTTGGGTCTCATATTAATACTTCATCATTTTCTCTGCCCAGTACCAGGAATCAAACTCAGGACCATGCACTTGTGAGGCAGACTCAGCGCCACTGAGCTAAATCCCCGGCCCATACAATTATTTTTGATGCCTACCACTCCCTTCTCTCTCATCCCAAATCTGTTTAGTCAAGAAATCCTAACAGCCCTATCTTCAAAATGTATCAACCCTTTCCCTTTCCCTGGCTGTCGGTTACCCTGGTCTCAGCCAGCAGCCTCTCTCCTGCATTGAGGCTTCTTCCAATTGGTCTCCTGGCTTCCAGCCGTGCTCACCCGCTCAATCTCAGTAGCCAGAGGGTTGCTTTTAAGACCTAAAGCAGTGCACACCACCCATCTGCTTAACGCCCTCTGTGGCTGTTACTTGGAGTGAAACTGGGCCCAAAGGCCTTGCGGTGGGCTGAAAGGCCCGGTGTGAGACCCCGGTGCCCATCGCTGCCCCACCCTGCTCCTTCTGTTCTTCTAACACACTGAACAGGGATACGCTTGTGCACAGGCCCCTGCCCAGATCCTCATCCCTCGCCTCCTTCGGTCTCTGCCGCTGTCCACTGCCCACCGAAAAGGGCACCTTCTCTGCATGGCGCTCTCCCTCCGTCACCCTGCGGCCCCAGCACACCTTCTCGCCTACTCTGCCATCTGATGTGTCGTTTATTATCTGTCTCTCCCCGCCACAACGCCAGGGTTTGTCTTTGTTGTGCACTAAATGAATGAATAATAAATAAGGCTGCTAACATTTAAATGATTACTATGCGCCTGACACTCCATCAGGCGCCTTCATGTTTTCTCAAACAGCACAAACCCGAGGAGGTAAACACTATTAACTCCATTTTACATATAAGCAAACTAAGGCCTGCAGAGGTTACGGGATTCCCTGAGCTGGTGTGTGGCGAGTCTGCGTCCCGGGCGAGAGGCAGCTGGATGCGAACCTCCACCCACAGGGGGTTGGGTATGGGGGCAACTTCGCTCAGCTGTGGCTTCGTTCTAATGTGACCAACTGGACCCAGTCTGCTGGGACTTGCCAGAGATCTGCACTGAAGTTCCTGCCTCCTAGAACCACCCTCTTCCTGCACCACAGGGCAGGCTCACAAGCTGCTTTCCTCTGCACCTCTGAGCAAGCCAGCACTACTCCCATGGTCTCCAGGGAGCAGGAACACTTCTGTCTCTTTATTGTCCTCAGGGATGGTGTCATCCATTCCTCTGGAGCCAGAATTCTGTACTCAGTGAGTCTCCGCTCATGGCTTTTTGGGATGCAAGCGATGAAAGCAAGACACATAAAAGGTCAAGACTGCTCTTGCTTACATACTTTGTTTTGTTTTTTGTTTTTTTTTTTTTTGTTTTTTTGAGGCAGAGTCTCACTGTGTAGTTGAGTCTGACCTGGAACTCACTGTCTAGCCCAGGCTGGTCTTGAACTCACAGCGATCCTCCTGCCTCAGCCTCCGGAGTGCTGAGATTACAGGCGTGTGCCACCACACCCGGCTGTCATACCTTTAAAATCACACATTTACTTACTTTTTTGCCACTTTCTACTCATCTATCTGCTCCACCTTAAGTCACCCTGAGCATGTGCAGTAGCTACCTTAAGAAGTCAGTCCTCCGCCAGTTCCCAGTGTGCCCTTGGGCAGGGTGGGACAGGTTGGATTCTTAGCCAGAGCAGCCTTGGGAATCCTCTCAGACAGGTGGTGCTGCACGCAAAAGCCGTGTGGGGCTGGGAGCCTGGCCAATCCCAATTTTGGGCTTTCCATGCCAATTCTTTCAGTCCCAGAGAGGCTTTCAGACCCTAATCTCAGCAGCTGTAATGTCACACAAATACTTGTCCAGCCCAGAAAAATGTCTTGGGCCCCAATCTCTGCAGTGGCTTGTTGGAGGCTTGGCCTCCTGCAGTGGGGAAAAAAAGACTTGGCAGGGAGAGAAGGTTGGAAACACAGGAAGAGGGCTTCCCCAAGAAGTTCATCAGGAAAATGAGAGGAAACACTGTACCCAAGAAAATGAGTGAGAAAGCCCCACCCAACCCAGAGTGCTTCGGGCCCTAACAGTCACACTGAGCCCAAGAGCTGGGAAAGTACAGAGAATGTCAGGGTGAAGTCATCACCCCCGCCCCAGGCTGCGAGAGTCAGGCGCAGTGGAACATATGTTTCTGCTGTGAGCTGGGCAGGACCCAGAGCCTGGGAGGAGAAGCAGAGCCCGGCCCTCGGTGGCCCGGCTCCAGCTGGGACACAACAGGTATGAGGCCAACCTCCCTCAGACATCCCTCGGGCGTCAAGGACTGTGTGGGCAGAGGCACCTTTATCAGAACCATCTCGGCCTCACCAAGGGTGCAGGTAGGTCGGACTTCGTGGGGACTCCCCGGCTGTCCGACTGAGTTACGGCACTTGCCAAAGGAGGCAGCAGGGCCTCTCCACACCGCATACAAGGGACGAGGTCCTCACAGCTGATTCACAGGCAGTGCTCTTGGTACACGAGAAGACATCAGGGCTTGGGGGTATGAAGCTCGCAATGGCGCACCTGCCTAGCATACGTGAAGACCTGGGTTCCATTACCAGCATTTCAAAAATAAACAAACAAACCTTTCTAGTCCTACCTTAAAACTCCGGGTTAGGGCACTAAGAGAAAGGAGTAGCTTAAAATCAGAGGACCTGGA